ATCTAAAAATGCTTTACTAACAGGGAGAGAACTTCTAGCTGACAAGATAAACTGATAGGCTTTGTTCTATCTTTATTTTCCATTGGAGTGATTTTTAAAATCTTTTTCTTTCTGCAGACCTGTTGATCAATAAATAAGCACCTTTTGGAAATATTGTGTGCAGAAACAAACAAGTGCAGAATTCAACATGATCATGCAGCCGCACGAGCATCACTTTTGAAAGCAGCTCTTTAGGAAGGTTTTCTATCTTCAAGTAAACACTGTCTTTCATTTCTTTAGCATTAACAATGTCATGCACTGTAAAAATGATTGGTTTCACTAGTTAAGGAAATTTATATCAAGCTGAAAAGAAACCAAAATCATGCATTTTGGCAGGTTTTGTGTCAGTACCGAGGGAAATAAATAAGCATGTCAAATGAAAAAAAACAATCACTTGAAGGTTTCTCTCGCCTCTCATGTAGGACTTAGAGAGAACTGGGTCTCTTTGCCCTGCTTCATGAAGAGCTCACTGAACCACCTATGCCCCGGCTGCACCCAATACAGGCTTCTAGTTCTGTCTAATTTGTCTTTGCGTGTCTGGTGCGTGATAAATTCATAAAGTGAATACATATGGAAAAAACTTCAGTAAAAGGAAAAGTGATCAGCAAAGTTACTGGTGGCAAGGCTTTAGTCTACCTAGTTATAAGAATTTTCTTTCTGAAATATTTTCGGATTCATTTTTAAAAAGGACAACTTACTTTTGTCTCCAAATCCATGCCTGCAACCAGTCCCTTGTAACTGAAACCGAAGACTTCGAAATGTAACATTATTTTACACAAAGACATAGAAGAGCTTTCTTTAATAAATATGTTAATATCATTACCAATTGATGGTAAAAATGATCTTGAACCAAGGAAACTCACTTTTCTCCATGAGTTTGTCACTAGAGTTAAAAAAGGTATATGCATCTGCCATTAATCCATGTGCTTTGACTATAGGATGTGAATCTGAGACTTTCAACAGGGAAGTTAATACGAATGGGTAGTTCATTTACGATTTTTGTGTCTCGAGTACATTACCAAGAGAATTTTTTTTTCATGGCCCAACCTGTGTTTTTCTGTCAATTTTCTCTGCATTTTTCCTGGCAATGGAACCTTTCGGACACATCAGAGACATCATAGAATTAGTAGAAAGAGCTTTTATTAAATCTTTACCCTGGAGTTTTTTACTTCCAAATGAGTCAAAAATATTATCCCATTTCAAATATGAATCAGAAATAAGGTAGATGGAATTGTATCATGAAAATGAAAATTATATTATTTCAAAAGAGCGAAAGATTCTTACTTTACTCTATGAAAGTTGCCATTGAATGCCAGAGGTTCTGTCCAGGGGGCACTTTTTATAGTTACCTGTAGATCTGGAAAGATATGTTGCAACATTACCAATTGCTTTGTGCCTACTACAAAGATATTTTTCACCTAACTTTTTTAAAGTTTGAAATAAAAGTGGCTACTACCCTTACCAGTTTATTAGGATTACAGTGACATCTGGTGGCATTTTATTTTCCCTTTTAAAACTTGTCCAGGTAAAAATCTAACACTTTAGTTCTTACTAGATAACTTAAGCTTTATCGATTTAATATATATACATTAAAAAAAACCCAGACACTATCACTTGAAGTAGAAGCCAACTGTAAAAAAAAAAAAAGGATTATTTCTGAATAATTTTCTTTCAAAAATACCAAGATTAGCATTTATTTTAAATTTTCTCCCATTGGCACCATTATGATATAAGAACTGCCCTAGAAATTGGTCTAATAGACAATCAAATTAAAAATTAGAAGTCTTCTGCTACTGAAGTGTTGTGTGATTGTAGCTGCTATGAATTCTTTAGATAAGCTAATTAAAACAATATTAGTGGAGGAAATATTTCACTGAAAGAAAAAAATTTAGGGCAAAATTAAACCTCTGCCATTTAAATCTGATTAATTATCAGCCTCCTCATGGACTGTCTCTAATTAACATGTACAGTCTGTAAAGTGAGAATGCTATTAAGCTACATTATGAGGTGGAAATTTAAAAAAAAAGACAAACTAGACTCAAGATTCCCACCCTCCCATTTTGCTCTCAACTCTCTCTCTCTCTCTCTCTCTCTCTCTGCCCCCCAGGCATTAATATTCACTTCTATGGGATGGATATCAGAAAAATTCTTTCAGGTGTTTTTTAATGACCCAGTTTAGTTTACTTCAGGAACTGTATTCATTTTGCTGATAACTGCCATTTGCAGGGAGCTGGTTAACATTTGCTTTTCTACTTCCTTCTTCCTTTCCTCCCTCAACCACTCCTTCCTACCCCGCTTTTTGAATTTGAACTTCTAAATAACAGTTCTGAGAGCCAATGAAAGCATTAACTTTTGGAAATTGTAGGTGACATTTCCACTTGCTATGTACTTTAATAAATAAGATTCCTTCACAAGTCCTGTTGTGAATAATGTGCAATTTCCAATTCAAGACATCAATTGCAAGACACTCCTTTGTACTATTAAGGAAGAAAAAAATCATTCTCAGTTAAACTAGGACACACTGAATAAAAAGATCATTTTAAATTCATTTAAAACATTAAGTAAAGCTTTGAGGCTTAAACAACTTTTATTATATATCATACATATGTGTAGGTTACAATGAAAACATAAGCAGAATAGAGTGTTTTGAAAACAGAGCGCAGCTCTAAGCCATGTTCCACGACGCCCATTTGCCCACGCCGCTGGCCCCTGGTCACTGAGAGCACCAGGGACAGCCATGGCCCGAGTGTGACTTTTGTCTCTAGGATCTTCTCCTAAGTTATTGACACCAATTCCACAAGTTTTGAAACGGGCATTTTATCTTACAAAACGAAAAACCCCTCAATGGAAGGTTTTTAGGCACTAACCAGAATTTATGATGGTTCCTGAAATAGTCACTATGATTCCTTTTCAAATGAGGAGATTACAGTTTGCATACCACCACTCAACGAGGTCACTGCATGCACCGGCAGTGTCATTTAAAGTCTTGACTCCTTGCTTTACCAGCAATCATAAAACACCATTGTTCACTGCATTTTCGTAAATGTTAAAATGTGAAAAATTATGCACCAGAGTAGAGCTTTAATATGGTAATGTCAGTGCTAAGAGCTAGCCTTTCCTGAGTGACTGCTATGTGCCAAGTACTACTTATAGTTTTCATATACATTATATTATCAAATCATTAACATAATTCTATGAAGTAGATGCTATTTAAATGTATAGTTAAATATTAAACAATTTGTTCCAAGGCAGACACCTAGTAAGTGGTAGATCTGTTGTTTAAAACTGGTTCTCTGTCATTCCACAGCTCATACATTTTTTTCATCGGTATTTGTCATAAATATTTAAACAGAAAATGCCAAAAGAGGGGTCACTCAGTCATATGGAAAAATAATCTCTCCATCAGCAATTTTCCTTGAATAATAGATGGAGCAAAGAGCAATCGTGTGAACAAATGTCAGGTTTATATATTTGCGAATTATCACAAAACTTTCAGAAAAGGAGAGAGATAAAATGTTCATTTGAGGAACAGAGAAAACTGCTATATCAGCTAGAAGCCATAATCACTGCAGAAGAAACATTTTCTGGAACATGCCATATGTCCACTTAATTTTCCACCAAGTAAGTAAAATCACTGCAATTTTCAAAGAGAGGAAAAGTTCATCTATACTTAATGTATATAAAAGAGTGAATTTGGAAAAAAGAAAGTACATGTTTCATTTGTATTTGCTTTATTTTCATTAATTAAATGTTCTTTTCACAAATCCATGGACCTCTGTCTCACCAAAATCAGAAAACAATATGAAAATAATGCACTTTTAGCTGAAACTTACTGTTGAATTATCTTCTACACTTTGAACCAAAGTAGTTAATAAAAAAACATTGAACTGATTCTTCTAAGAAAATACTTCTCCGTCTTCATAAGACACAGAATTTTTTCCATAGCTATGTTTATGTGCATGTAGAGACTTCAACACTCCCTCAAGAATAACTTTACTGGCAGACATTACACAAAGAAACTGGGCTAAGTATCATACTCTCTGTATTTGCATTTTTAGAAGAAAACATAGGGAAAATGTTTTGACATTGGTTGTGGCAATAAATTTTTGGATATCTTACCAAAAGCACACGCAACAAAAGAAAAAAAAATAGCAGGTAGGACTATATCAAACAGCAAAGGAAACCATCAACAAAATGCAAAGGCAACCTACAGAGCAGGAGAAACTATTAGCAAACCACATATGTGATGAAGAATTAATATCTAAAATATCTAGAAAGAGAAATCAGTATCTCAAAGAGGTATCTGTACTCCCACATTTATTGTAGGATTATTCATAATAGCCTAGACATGGAAGCAACCCAAGTGTTCATCAATGTATGAATGTATAAAGAAAAAAAACATACATTACTATTTAACATATATAAATGTGTATGTATACATATTTAAACACAGATACAAAGGAATATTATTCAGCCATAAAAAAAAGTAAATCCTGCCATTTGCAACAACATGGATGAATCTGGAAGACATTATGCTAGGTGAAGTAAGCCAGACACAGAAAGAGAAATACTGCATGATCTCATGTATAATGTGGAATCTAAAAAACAACAACAACAACAACAAAAAGAGTAGAAGTCGTGGAAACAGAGAGGAATGGTAGCCAGGGGCTGGAGTTCAGAGAAAATCGAGGAATATTGGTCAGAGGGTAGAGTGCATACTTTCAGTTATAAGATGAGTAAGTTCTGGGAATATAATGTATAGAACAGTGACTGTAGTTGTGAATACTATATTGTATGCTTAAAGTTTGCTAAGAGAGTAAATCTCATGCACTCTCACCACACAACACAAAAATTTAACTAGTGTTAATTTTATTGTGGTAATAATTTTATAATGGGTGTGTATACACACATACACACACATAATTGCCGCATTGTACACTTTATATAGTTTTATTTGTCTATTATATATCAATAAAGCTGGAAAAATTTAATTTAAAAACAAAACATGCATAATTGTTGTTAATTTCTTCTCCCCAAAAATATGTTCAAAAAGAAAGAAGTTTCTGTTAGCTGTACACATTGTGTGTATAGTAATGTATGCCTTTTAAAAGAAATGAAATTGAACCATAGGATATAGCTTTTTCATTGGAAAAGAAAATATTGAAGAAATTATAAACCAAATCAAACAATAGGAAAAACTTGGTACTATCAAGTATCCTATTTTTAAGCACTCCATTAACATGGTAATGACAAAGTTTTAGTTAAGGGACATCTAAATTGTATTGAAATATTTTAAGGTAAACATTCTGAATGGTAGAGTTTAACCTTATATTAGTTAAAAAAATTGTATTTTGGGCTTTATGCTTGTCAATGATGTTGACTCTTCCTTATAGGTAACTGATTTAGCTGACTAATGGACATAAAAATATAGCAAATATATAATGCTTAACAAGCAGCAATCAGTAATGAGGACTATCACAAACTCACCATAACAATCCTGAATCGACATCAATTAGTCTAATCTGTGTACATTAAAAATGAAAATAAAAGCATTGTTCTATAGTAACCTCAGCTTAATGGATAAACTCTAAGTTTTCTGAGAGTATAAGCTCTAAAAGAGTCAGTGTTAAGTATGTGTCCTAAGGTATTCATAAGTTCTTTTGTGGGCTTTACCTATAAACGTGTCTATATTTTTAAAGAATATACTTCAAGAGTTCTAAGATGCAGAGGACGTTTGCATTTTTCCATGGTATGTAATAGGGAAAAAGCTTTAGGATAAAACCATTTTTTCTCATTTTGTGTAAATGCATTGTATTGTTAATGTAGACTACTGCTCCATTGCCTAAATATCTCCAAGTTTTATGAGAGTTACACCTTTTTTTCTGTTTCCATGTAGGAAGATATCAAACACGTCAACTTCTGTTAAATGTAGTTTTGTTATCAACCTGAGTCCATGGGCCAACAGCAATGGCACCCCCCCCCGTGAAGCTTGTTAGAAATGCAGGTTCTCAGGCGCCACCCCAGACCTACTACTGTATGATAATCTCTTTTACAACCCCCACGTAGTAATTCTAATGTACACAAAGTTTGAGAAGCATTAACTTAGGACACCTCACTGATTGATCTAATTTTCTACAAATTACTTTAAACAACTGGTATATAAGTATTCTACATGCGTTCTTTATTTCACAATATTCAAGATTTAACGTATAACCAAATCACCAAGGGGACTTGTCTAAAAACTCAGACTTTCAAGTTTTTCCTCAAGAGTTTAACATTCAGTAGGTTGAGGGTCAGGCCTGGTTCCCCCAACCACCACCTCTTCTGAACAAACTTAAAGTTAATGTTTGGTATTGAGGGTCTCTAGTTCAATTCACAACATGATGAGATGATTCCTTCCTTTTTCTCCCCACCCCTCAGAGGAGCACTGTCGTTTCAGTCAGTGGATAACAAAGTAATTTACTAGAGACCTGTCCCCTTTGGAATGAAACACTTCTTGTTGTAGAGAATAAGGCCAATATATTCTGCAAAGTGCTTAGAACTCTCCAGAGGTCTCAAATAAATGCACCAGGAGCCAGCAGGTAATCAATGGGAGAAACACAAATGTGATATCCCAATTACAGACGTTCAAGTTCCAAATGTGTAAAAACCTGCACAGAACAACCAAGAACACTTCTGCAAGTAATATTCAGCCCATGCCTTGCTGATTCCTGGTATCTGTACTAGCACAGTTTTTTCTAGTTAATTCTCTGGTCACATACATACCATAGAGCTTATTTTTATTGTTAATTTGGTTTACTTTGGGACTTTTGAGAACTTGGTTTTATGTGGATTTTACTTGCAGCAGCAAAACATGATGATATACCAGGCTGGTTACCTACATAAGCCTTCTGATGACAAGTGGATATTTTTAAAGACATGGTAAATAAACCATAGCTGTAAGCTATGGATTTTCATAGCCCTATTTTTTTCCTAACCAATTTTGTCATGGAGCCATACAGAAGATGGTCAGCTGGCATTGTTTTATATTGCACTGTACACCATCTTCAGAGAAAAAAACAATCGGAATTTTTGTGGAGTACCTGTCTTCATTTCGCTTGTTACTGCTTGCTATGTGTTAGTGTACAGTGCTAATTTACTTCAGTGCCTTGAGTCTGAATGGTTACAAAAGATTTAAGATATCCAGAAACCTCACTGTTTCCAAATTTCACCTAGAGGTATCTTTACCCTATAACTTCTAAAATGAAAAACAGAGCTGTTCACATGTTCACTATGTACTTTTATTTTAACTACCAGCACAACAAACACAATAACGTGACAAGACCATTACCTCAATAATACTGAAAACATTCCTTGACAAGTTGGCTTATCATTTACATACTGCTTTTATATGGAGTTAGTTTAAATAGTATCTTAAGATATACTGTAAAACACAAATCTTAAGTATATACCAGTTGCAAACATAATGTGCTTAGTTACTATTTTTCTTATTATTCAAGTGAAATGACTTAAAGTTCCTCAAAATCATGTCCATTTGTATTCATTGTCTCAGGATGCATGACTCGTCCCATGAATAGGATTGTACCTGCATTGGGTTGGAAGTGAACAAAAGAGAGGATAAACAACAAAAGATACTTATATTTAAAAAGGGTTATTTATTTCTCTTCTTATTTACAACTGGCAATATTCTAAATATAAAAATGTTATATTCATTTTTTAAAAAGTCATTTGAACACTAAAAATTATCTGATAAACAATGTGGAAAAATGTTCAATGTGGAATAAATTTTCAGTTATTTCTTTCGAATCTATTAAAAAAATTCTGTTTTCATAACAGACTCACCTGTTCTCCTATTCCTGATAAGAAAGAAAAATGGATGGTCAACAATAACTTGAGGATACAGCACAGCCATCCTACTGATTGCAATCATTCCTATAGTGCAGAGAGAAAGTAATTACATGTTTGTGGATATGTAGGGACTAATGAATAATTTCTCTAAACCATCTATATTTAATGCATAGGCAATGGTTCATAAGAAATACAATTTTTAAAAACTTAGAGAAAAATTATAAAGGTGCTAACATTTCCCGTTAACTTTAAACACTCATGCACCCCACACATACCCCACACTTTCTTATCTCTGCCCCCCCAAATAATAGAAGAACTTACTCTGCCTCTTACAGAATTTTTAGTCTCAGTCTCAGATACGTATGTCTTTACTAAAAGGATCTTTGAATTAAAGGAAGAGAGAAGAAAAAAAAAACCTCTAAAAAACTAAGAGTTATTTTACATTCTCAAATCATTATTTTTTTTGTTTGAAATGGGTATTTTTACACAGGAATTCTCAGGCTTCTAGTAAGTGGCCGGAATGGCAATGATTAAAGGGAAAATACGACAGTGAGACTCAATGTGTTTCCTACAGCTGGGAAACTGAATTCCCCCGAGGTCCTTATTATAAATGATTGTTTTATACTAGCTGTGGGGTGATTCAATCATCAGAAAAAGGTCACTATTAAATTCTGTAAGTTTTAAGTTTTTCGGTGCCTGAGACTACTGTGTTTCTATTTCCTCCTGAAAATGCTGTTTTAACTGGTGCTATTTTTTAATGGATAAATTCATGCAAAGGTAGAAATAATGCATGCAAATATAATGTGTTACATTTTATGAGGGGGGGTGATGGGGGAAATTTGACTAAAACTTGATGATAAAACTGAAATAAATCCAACCAAATAAAAGGAGGAAAAAAAGTCAATAGAAAAATCATTCTCAATTAATTAGGGAAGTCTGAATGATCAAAATAATCAAGGACATTTGTCATTTTGCTCTGGACACATGGTTTATGTCAAATTTCTTCAATTACTCATTTAAAATTATGATTTTATTGGTATTATTACTTAGTTACAATTATTACATGCTATTATACATATACTGTTGTTTATGTATGTGTTCTTAAAATCAAAACTTTCCACTAACAAAATTATAAATTAACTTCTACAAGGAATTAAGTAGGAAGAAATATGTTCAAATGGGCAGCAGGGAAATATTTGAAATATTGAAGCAGGCGGCACAGCAGGAAAACCTATTCTATGGGGCTTACAATGTCCTCCTGCCTCTCCTCAGCGAGCAAACGGGGGACTGGAGTCACCGGCACGGCCGCTGGAGTGAGCGCGCTCACAGCCTACCTGGAGAATCCTAGCTGGTTCGGCATCAGCTAGACTTATAAGTGAGACCAGAGCAGTCAGTTTATTGGCTTGATTCTAAAAATGACTCCCGCCCCTCACCCAAAATTGCTTCAAAAATACAAATCTAGAAATGGTGAGGTTTTAGGAAACAACTTGGCACCTGAGGTGGCAGCAGCCTCCGATCCTTCTTCATTCACCTCGATGAAGGACTTGTGAATTGCTTTGGAAAGGAAAATCTCTTTGCTATCTACAAAAAAGAGATAAAAGAAGTATTTCTTCAGTATCAGAGATAGAAAAGCATTTTACCCTTTCATGAAAAGGATTTGAAAACTATGAAACATGATACACTGATATGTGATGTAAACCATAAGAAATAATGTTGTAGGGTTTCATTTATGATTTGAGAGAACCATCAGAGATATGTATTCTGATTAGTCCTCTTTTATATTCTCTTGCCTTTTTTCCCCTTTATTTTTATTGATTGTTTTTCCATAGTTTATTTTTTATATTGCCAGAAAAAGTGGAAAGTGGCTCTATTTTAATAGCAACTTCAAATTAGTTCTAAACTCCATATAAAAACATGCTGCACTCTATTTTGAAATTTAAAAACACAAAATGAAAATAGGTAGAAATCTAGATATAACCAGAATAAGGAATTTTTTTCAAAATCTAAACTCTAATTACAATGGTAATATAAATATCATTGGCAGAGAAAAATATACAAGAAATCTCTAAAACTAAATAAATAAAATATTTAAAAAAAGATTTCTAAGTTGTAGAAATGTGAATATATAAAAAAGGTACTTTCCATTACAGTTAATTGGTTTATTTGAGGATTACTCTAAAGCCAGAGGAACTAACACATTTCCAGTATTAGAAGGACTGTTTTTCTCTTTGAATTACCTTTCTACTTACTCTTACTTTTAAGTTAATGGCTATTATTTGCTGAACTGTGCTCTCTTAAAATTCATATGTTGAAGTGCTAATCCCCCCAAACTTCAGAATGTGACTTTAGAGATAGACTCTTAAGTTAAAATGAGGTCATTAGAGTGGGGCTTAAACAAAAATGACTGGTGCCCTACAAGAAGAGAAAATCTGGGGGGAAGGCAGAGACAAATGTATTTAAAAAGTAAATAAATTAATTTAAAAAAAAATCTGGACACAGACAGGTACAGAGGGAAGACCATGTCAGATGGTTAATTTTATGTATCAGCTTGGCTGGTCTGCGATGCCCAGATATTTGGCCAAACACAGTCTGAGTATTTCTGTGAAAGGTTTTCTAGATAAGATTAACATTTAAAGGGGTGGATTTTGATGTGGGTGGGCCTCATCCAGTCAGCCACAGACCTCCATAGAACAAACACTGACGTCCTCTGAGCAACAAGGAATTCTGCCAGTTTACTGCCTTTGCACTGAAACTAAAACTTTTGTTTGGGTCTCCAGTCTTCCGGGCTACCTTTTAGATTTTGGATTTTCAAAGCTACTGTACTGTGTGAGCCAGTTCCTTAAAATAATTCTCTAACTCTCTTTCACTTTCTCTTTCTCTCTCTCCCTTTCTCTCTTTCTCCATAGATAGATACATACATCCATCATACATATGTACATACATCATATATACATGTATACATAAATGATAGATAGAAATAGAGATAGAGAGGAATAGAGGTTTTTCCTGTTGTTTCTGTTTCTCTGAAAAACCTCGACAACATGTGAAGCCACAGGAAGAAGGGAACCATCTACAAGCCAAGGAAATAGGACTCAGAAGAAACCAACCCTGAAGACACCTTGATCTTAGATTTCTAGCCTCCAGAGCTGTGAGAAAATAAATGTGCATTGTGCAAGCCACTCAGTCTGTAGTACTTCATTACGGCAGCCCTAGCAAACTGTACAAGGCAATAGCTTTCAATCTTGGGTTTCCAGTATTTCCCCCAAGATTAAAATATTGCCTCAAATACAAAAATTTAAAAATAGTACAAGGATAAAGAATTACAAGTACAAGATAAAGAATTATTCAAGTTTGCACCCCACCCCCCCTTTTTTTCCCCAATTCCAGGGTGTATAATTCAAATTCAAGATAAATAACTTTGTTGCTGATACCCAGCACTATTCAATAAAAGTGCCATTGATTTCTCATTAGGCTGCTTAGTAAGACTTTGTAAGTAACCAAGTCTTACTCACAACATACATTTTCCTTTCAAGTTTTCAAAAACATATAATTACCTTACATGGTTAGGGAATGATGTTCAACAATATTTTTGGTACATCTGTCACAAGCACTTGCATATTTTGAATTAGTCTCAAGACAACTGAGTGACATTTCTGAATCCAGTTTTAGATATTACTTCCTCGGCTCATATAAGTACTGAATTATGAATTAGCCCATCTCAAGTATTATATTTTATTCTAGAATGCAGTTGATGACTAGAAGAAAAATAAAAAGCAATGAAGTTTTTATATTAAACAAGTATAATTAGCTCCCTCAAATCTAGAAGACTAGTTTTTTTTATCAAAAAGAAAAACATAAATTGCATTTATAGCTAGTCAAATATATTTAGTTGGCAAAAAAAAAAACAACAAACCCCATGTGAGTTCCAAGACAGTACAATATATTATCAGTTAACTGATGCTATATTATTTGTAGACTCTATTGCCCATTTTCATCACTCTGACAGTTAAGGGAGAGTCATCCACCAAGAGCAGATAGATATCATGGCCCTAAATGCAGAAGTGACAGAATCCAGTTCCTAAATGGTAGTGAGTGTCCATGTTGTCAGCTAAGCCGTCTTCAAATATTCTGAAGGGAGTTCTCAAAGACATTGTGTGATATTCAGCCACGCCAACGTGCCTGGAGGGAACTGCCGCCAAGAGCTCCTGAGCCTGATCTGCTGGCTTGAGGAGACTCCTTGAAAGAAGGACTCTTGTCCTTTCAACTCTGACCTCTGTCCCAAATGTGTCCTCCTCTCCTCTAGTCACCGAACCTCTCAGATGCTCTCATTTACCCACACAAAGCGGTAGCAGGTGGAGGGATACTGCACAGAACCGTGACAGAAAGATCAACGAGGCGAGGATGCTGAGGGCTCTTGCTAGAGAGCTGGTTATTTAAAAGATAATGAAATGGATAAACCTTTACTAAGATGTGTGAAGAGGAAAGAGAGACTGCCCAAATAAACAGTATTAACATACACACAACAAAAGAGAACATATCTAAAGGTACAGATGAGAATTTTTAAAAGTCACAAAAACTATGTATAATTTTCTGCAGATAATCAACATTATGAAGTATAACATATTTTCTTTAAATTGTATCTATTTACAATACACGGTTTGGCAAGTTTTGATAGATGTATGTATCTGTGAACCCACCTCCACAGATAAGGCAGAGTATTTCCATCCCCCAGTAAAGATTTTTGTACATTTTTATGCAGATAACTGTGAAAACAAACAGGTTTCCCATCAACTGGACACTTTTATAGTAATGTATAAATTATAAAATTGAACTCGGGGGAAAAAAATAGAATATCTGAATAATCTAGTAACCATTAGAGTACCAGTTGAATCAGCAGACAAAAACTTCCCCCATCCTCAAAATTAAAGACTGCAAGCCAAAATGGTTTTCTGGGTAATTTTAATGAAACCTTCAAGACACAGATAGGAATTTTGGTAAAAAACAAACAAACAAACAAAAAATGCCCAAAACATTCTAGATGCTAGAAAGTGAATAAAAGTAACCTAAGTCATTTAGAGGTAATTTTACCTTACTATTAAAATTGAACAAAGTTAGTCTAAGGAAAAAAAAAAAGTAGTTAACCAAACTCACCTATTAACATAGAGGGAAATTTGTTTTGTTCTGTTTTTAAGGTCAGAAAATTAAACGCAGCAAAATATACAAATAAATTTTTAAAATGGGTTTCAAGGGACATCACATTGTGTCATGTCACCGCAGTTGAGAACAACTCCAACTGCCTGGAGTTCACATCAGAGCCTCCTCTGGGATGACCATATCAAACACAAACCAGTTTATGCCGCTACCCTACTAAAAGCCCTCCATCCCCTCTGCTGCGCGCTCTGCCTCCTGCCTCGCCTTCCGTATATGGCATACCTGCATACCTGCTCGGTATGCACAGAAGAGGACCTCTGTGTGGTTGCCTCTGCTTCATTCAGTTAGCCTTCACTCCATACACTCTGCTCCAGTTTATTCGAACTCCATAGCTGACTTGCCACGCTGTATCGCTCTTGTGTCTGCTTCCCCAGAAACTCCTTTAACCTTTGTTGTATAGGAAGACTCCTAATCTAGTTTTAGAGCTCAGTTTTGAGACGTACCAAGCCTTTTTTGCTCTCCTGATTCCTACCTCCCACTAAAGTAGAACTGACCACTCTTTCCCACTCATCCCAGGATCTAATTCTATTGAATGAAGCCTTTATAATGTACCATATTTTTATTGATCTCTCTCTCTTCCTGGACTAACTTCCTTCAAACAAGGATTGTGTCATTACCTTTCGTGTCCCTGTGTTCTGGCGTTCGGTGGGCCTAATAAAGGAACTGCCCTAAGGAGAGGGAGTTTCCTGGTAATGGGTAATTTTCCAGTATTTAACCCAAAACACAGAAATTTACTAATTGTTGAATGAAAGGGGTCAGCTACTTCATATTGTAAGTCTTTGGGTGTTGTCACTCTGTGAGCACCCTGACCACAATTCTGTGCACAATCAGAGCTATAAAGTTTATTCTTGTAATCAGTAAAGCATATGACACTCATCCAGAGTAGATGCTCTAGGAAAATTGATGGAGAACAACAGCAGAGAGGGAGAGAATCCGAAGACCACACACACTAAAAGAACTTAAAGATTTAATAGAGTAGAAGAGCAAAGGGGATGGCATCCGAGAGGCCAGTGTCATCATATACATTTCAAAGACGGCAAAAGAAAGACTCATCCCACGTTCTGCCTCCCAGGGGAGAGGAAATGATGCATGATGGACGGCAAAGGTCTGCAGATGTAAACGAGGCCTCGGGATACTTAACCTTCAGAAAAACAGCACCCCTTTGGATATACCAGCAGGAGAAAATGTAACAAATGAGAAATCACATCACAGATACTGAGTTGAAAAAAGAAAATGACTTTCTTTCCTCTTGGGACAAATTTCGAGCAGCCGCATTTAAATAAAATGTATGCCGAAAGCGGTTCAAGCAAGAATGTGCCTGCTGTCACCGGGTTTTAGAAGATCAGGCCATGCAGGGGTACCAGCGAGTT